CCAATTCGTCTCTGGTACACAAAATTGTGGGATTATTTTATTATGGAAAAAATATCAGGGGAAAAACTGTATGATTGGTACAATATAAATGCATAGCTTAAAGTAATGAAATTTTTGGTATTATTAATCTTTTTAAGTTAAATGGAAACTATGGTAATGAAAAGACAAGAGTATACAGAAACTTAAGCAAATTTATAGAAATTCTTTAAATATGGTAACAGAGTTATAAGAAAATACACTGCTCTCTTTGTATGTTTTATGTGTGTAAGTGGATGTTTGTTTCTTGGTGTATAATATGAAAAATAATAAAAGTGTACCTTATGGGTACTTAAAAAAAGAAAAGAAAGAAAAAGAAAAAATAGAAGATGCTATTCAATGTATGGACTCACAGGTTAAGGATTCATACGTTATCAAAAAACGGGCTCCTCTTTTGAAATGGGAATTGCAGCATGATTCGTCAGACTTTGAACTCTGGGCTAATTTTAGTTTTGTTATGGCAATTGACGAATGTTAATTTCTGTTGTAATTTAGGGCCAACATGTCTGTGTACTATCATAAGAGTGTAACAGAGGTAGCCTGGTTGAACTTTGAGATATATTTTTCCTCCTCATTTGTGTATTTTTATAAGTTGATACTTGTAATTTCTTCTTCTTCAATAAAAATAAAATGGGGGGGGGGAAATATCACACAGTGAAGATCCTTACATACAGGTGGGGCTGAGAGAGTTCTGACAGAAATTGCTCTTTTTCAAGGACGGCTCTGAGAGAACTTGTGACTGACCCAAGGTCATCCAGCAGATGCAAGTGGATGAGTGGGGAATCAAACCCAGTTCCCTCAGATTAGAGTCTGCGCACTTAACCTCAAAGATCCTTTGAATGGTCAAAAACACCAAGGATCAGACCAGGAACTATCTGGGCCAGGGGTCCCCAAACTTTTCAAGCCTGTGGGCACTTTTGGGATTCTGACATGGGGGTGATGGGTGCAACCACAAAATGGCTGCCTCAGGAGGTGGAGCTGGCCACAAAATGGCTGCCGCTGCTTACCTTCAACCACACAGTGAAGATCCCTGTACTGGTGGCAGCAGCTGCCAACGCAACATTTTTTTAAAAAAAATCTGTACCGACTGTGTGAAACTCCACCTGCCCTGCCCGCTTGCTAAAACCAATCCCCGGCATTGCCAGTTAAAAAGGCCAGGTAGGGGGTGATGAGAAAGACCTCAGCCTGAGACTCTGGAGAGACGCTGTTAGTCTGAGTAGACAATGCTGGCCTTGATGGACCAAAGGTCTGATTCAGGATAAGGCAGTTTTTGTGGGTATTCACAGTTCGCAGGGTTTCGCAGTGGGACGGCCTTCCTCGGGAGGTGGCGGGCTCTCCTTCTTTGGAGGTTTTTAAAAGAGATGCTAGATGGCCATCTGACAGCGATGCGGAAACTGTGAACTTGGGCAGATCAGGGGGAGGGGGGTTGCAGCCTCAGTGCTCAGTTCTCGAGGCCCTTTATTACACGCCCAGGGAAAGGCTGGTTGCCACTTTGGGGTCAGGAAGCTATTTTTCTCCAGGCCGGTTTGGCCAGGGATTCTGTAGGTTTTTTGTCATCTTCTGGGTGTGGAACAGCGGTCACTGAGGGTGTGGAGGAGGAGGTATCTGTACATTTCCTGCATTGTGCAGGGGGTTGGACTAGATGACCCTGGAGGTCCCTTCCAACTCTATGATTCTATGTCTGTGTGCATGTTCAAAGGTCCCGTCCTTTGAAGTTCTTCCACACCTTGTTAAGTTTACAAGGGGCTTTCCCCTGGCTACCCGGCCACCGGATCCCTCCTTCCATCCAGCGTAAGCCTCAGGACCGTACCTCCGTGTCGTATTTTTCATTCACGACTGGCGCAGTGGTCACCCACTTCATTCTGGTGGCGAAACGAAGCGTCGAGAGCTGAAAGGCACACGAATGTCACCAGGGTCAGGGTGGAAACGGTTTTTGGGCTGCAAACTCTGTGGGGCCGAGAGGCTGTGGCTCAGTTGCAGAGCATCGACTTGGCCTGCAGAAGGGTCCATATTCAATCCCCGGCATCTCCAGTTGAAAAAGCATCAGCTAGTAGGTGATGCGAACGACCTCCGCCTGAGACCCTGGAGAGCCACTGACCGTCTGAGTAGACAAGACTGATGGAACCCAAAGGTCTGATTCAGCAGAAGGCAGCTTCATGCTTTATGTCAACCATCACTGAGGTTCCAGCCCAGCCTGTTCCTTGTGATGCTAGTTTTCTACCTGCAGGAAGCATTTTAAAAATGGTATCTCCCTCCCACATGTCTGAAGCGGCATAGTCTGAAGGGTGACATGATCGAGGTTTACAAGATTATGCATGGGACAGAGCACGTGGAGGAAGAAGGACTTTTCTCCCTTTCTCACAATACGAGAACGCGTGGGCACTCCATGAAATTGCTGAGTGGTCGGGTTAGAACGGATAAGAGGAAGTCCTTCTTCACCCAAAGAGTGATGAACACGTGGAATGCGCTGCCACAGGAGGTGGTGGGCGGCTACAAGCATAGACGGCTTCAAGAGGGAATTGGATAAGCATATGGAGCAGGGATCCATCGGTGGCTATTAGCCACAAGGGATAGATAGGGACTCTCGGTCTGGGGCGAGTGATGCTCTGTATTCTTGGTGCTTGGGGGGGGGGCAACAGTGGGAGGGCTTCTGTTGTCCTAACCCCACTGCTGGACTTCCTGATGGCCCCTGGCATTTTTTGGCCACTGTTTGACAGAGTGTTGGACTAGATGGGCCATTGGCCTGATCCAACATAGGCTTCTCTTATGTTCTTATGGATGAACATACGGAGCAGAGGCCTATCAGTGGCTCTTAGCCACAAGGTATAGATAGGAACTCTCAGTCTGGGGCCAGTGATGCTCTGTATTCTTGGTACTTAGGGGGGTGGGGGCAACAGTGGGAGGTCTTCTAGTGTCCTGGCCCTTTTTATTTATTTATTATTTTGATTTATATCCTGCCCTCCCTGCAAGCAGGCTCAGGGCGGCTTACAGTAATTGGTACCTTGTACCATAAAAACCATGTACAAAATTTAAACAGCATTAAGCATTAAAAACAATCCAACAATTAACAATTAAAGTGCTACTGATGGTACACTTTTGATGGTAATCTCTAAATGATTCAGATGGCATACTAACATTGGCTTCTCTTATGTTCTTATGGGTGAACATATGGAGCAGGGATCCATCAGTGGCTATTAGCCACAAGGTATAGGTAGGAACTCTCCGTCTGAGGCAAGGGATGCTCTGTATTCTTGGTGCCAGGGGGAGGGCAACAGTGGGAGGGGCTTCTAGTGTCCTGGCCCCACTGCTGGACCTCCTGATGGCACCTGGTATTTTTGGCCACTGTGTGAGACAGAGTGTTGGCCTGGATGGGCCACTGGCCTGATCTGACATTGGCTTCCCTGATGTTCTCATAGTCCATTCCACCCCCGTACTCTGTGCCATGCATAGACCAGGCATGCCTGGAAATGTCCCCCTGAAGTCTGGAGTGCTGACGGCCTTTCTTTGCCTCCTCATCCAGCCCCATGTGCCTGCAGCCCACCCCGCTCCGCTTACCGTCTCCACAATGTGAACGGCCTCGCTGCAGATATTGGCCACCAGGACCGTATTGCAGTTTCCACCTGGGAGGGAAAGAAAGGAACGGCGGGCAGGTTTTTTGAGCCCCAGAGCCCCCTACGCACGGCATCCAGGGCAAGCTCACCAGTTTCAGTTCCGTTTATTGTCATTAGCCATGGGCCGTTACAAAATTACAAAACACAAACTGTGAACAAGCTATATCGTTAAAAGCCAGGATATACAAAAATACCAGAGATCAGTAACAAAACATGACTAATTTAATACAGTAGCCTAAGTCGTGCCCCTTACCGATGCCACCTTTGGAACGTATATGCTTTGCAGCAGGGGCAAATGATGAAACTTTATAAGAGTCATATGCAATGCTCCCTCTAAGCTGTGAAGTCTTGTGAGCAAAAATTCTACTTTGTGAGCTCCTGGCATTAAAGTTGTGGGCGAGCGATTTGGCTACTGCATAAATTAGTTTGCTCTGGAGCCCTCCTTCCTGAGCTGAGACAAAAATCTGTGAGCCAGAGGCTAAAAAACTGTGAGCTAGCTCACAATAACTCAGCTTAGAGGGAACACTGGTCATATGCATCAGTGTCAGAACAGAAATGACATTTTTCCCTCAACTGGGTAAGCGGTAAGACCAGATAAAATACCTGCTAGAAATTTAGCCCTCGGACTAGAATACAGTGGGCAAAAGAGAATGTAGTGAGGTAGATCCTCAAGTTCGTGGGAACCACAAATACACAGATGATGGGCCAATGGAGTATGATTGAACCGGCCCTCCAAAATGGCTGTTGGCATTGATTGAAACCATAGAGAGGTAAAGGACTCTCTAAGTACGTGTTTAGAGTTATTAACTAGGTATGGAGTTCGAGTGTGGTCCGATTTAATTAATTTGTACCACAGGCTCACCAAATGAGACGTTGACACGGCAGCGTCGGAGCTTCCTATGTATGGGGGGGGACCATACCGCACTGGCAGGTCTCCTACACAGCTTCTGCACCGTTGCAGCACACAGCCAGTGTGGTGTAAAGGTCAGAGTGTCGGACTGGTACCTGGGAGACCCAGGTTCGAATCCCCACTCTGCTGTGGTAGCTCACTGGGGAACTCCGAGCCAGTCGCGGCCAGTCTCAGCCCAGCCTACCTCACAGGGTTGTTGTGAGGATAAAATGGAGGAGAGGAGAACGATGTCAGCTGCTTTGGGTCCCCGCTGGGGAGAAAGGCAGGGCAAAGATGAATTAGATAATAAATAATAAATGGCAAGGATCAATGCTCCCTCTAAGCTGTGGAGTCTTGTGAGCAAAAATCTACTCTGTGAACTACTGGCATTAAAGTTGTGAGCGAGTGATTTGGCTGCTGCATCAATTCGTTTGCTCTGGAGCCCCATCCTTCCTGAACCGAGACAAGAATCTCTGAACTGGAGGCTAAAAAACTGTGAGCTAGTTCACACTAACTCAGCTTAGAGGGAACACTGATGATGATGAGGAAGAAGTAGTAGTAGTAGTAGTAATAGTAGTGGTGGTGATTGGATTCATACCCCGCCCTTTACTACCCAAAGGTGTCTCAGAGTGGCTTACAAACTCCTTTCCCTTCCCCTCCCCACAACAGACAGACACCCCGTGAGGTAGGTGGGGCTGAGAGAGCTCTTGACAGAAACGGCTCTTTTTCAAGAACAGCTCTTATCAGAACTACGGCTCTCCCAAGGTCATCCAGCCAGGTGCAAGTGGAGGAGTGGGGAATCAAACCCGGTTCTCCCAGATTAGAGTCCTCACACTTAACCACTATCCTGGGACAATGTTTTAGGGTATGTAATTAATTTCCTGACATACTGGGCCTCAAGGTCAATTCACAGAAAACACATGTAATACACATAAAATACGTTGAAATACACCTTTAAAAAAACCCCTTTATTTTCCATTTTTAGGAGCACTGCAAATGTATACAAAATAACCTGAAACTTCGTAGAGTACTGGAAAGGAGAAAATGTAGATGAATTTTCTCACACATGGATGGAAGCCATACAATACTGGAAAAGAAGAAGAAGAAGAAGAAGAAGAAGAAGAAGAAGAAGAAGAAGAAGAAGAAGAAGAAGAAGAAGAAGAAGAAGAAGAAGAAGAAGAAGAAGAAGAAGAGATTGGATTTATACCCCACCCTTCA